TCTTTCTGGCCTTAATGGTATATATCCTATCACTTAAATAGTGTATTTTCTTTCTTAATTTGTTTATGCTCTTTATATTCAGTTTTAAGCTAGAATAAAATAGGAATGGTCTGTCAGAAATTATTGGAGGCCAAAGCACAACCAACTTTGTATTGGAAAGTTTCTTTCTTGCATAGTTCTTTTTTTCATATGCTAATTCACATATATAACACATATATCAATACAGACAACATGTAGTTTTCCATAGTTTCTTAAAACCTAAGTGAACTTTTCAGTTTCTTGGCCTGTCAGTTAAATTTTGACTTTCTCTGATATCAATGATTATACTTTTTCTCTTGAAACTCAAATTTAGATTAAAAGCAAAATATTAATTAAACATTGATTCAAAAATGTAATACATTCTTCATTCACACATGAACATTATTTGTAAATATTCTTAAAGTAGTAAATATTGAAAGGTCACTTGTCATGGCCCACACCTACTACCAGAAATAAAAGGGTAGATGTAAGGCAAATGAGATGTCTCAAAAGAACACAGTCCAGTACGCAATCCTATATTAGCTTGCCTCCTTCTGTGTCTTAGTAGTTCATGCTCTGAACATTTAAAGTGTGTTAGTTTTTGTCAAATATGCATCGAATATGAAGCTGCGTTAAATAGAAAGCATATCTTAAAACATTTGCCTGTGCATAAAGGAAAGAAACAATGCATGAAGTGTGATTAGAATATTGAAAGTATTCAGGACCTTTGTTGAGTGCTTTTCATTTAATTAGACATACTCTTTACAAGCTAATCACATGCAAAAATACATACCCATGTACATACATAGACAAATGTGAAACAGATGATATGAAGGTAATTGTAAGAATGATAATTTGTTTCTGGTTGACTTTAATTGCTCTGAAATCTTTGGTAATTAAGTCATCATAATGATGTATATAGCATAGAACAAAATTATTTTTTTATTTTTACACATATTTTAAAATATTTTTATAGAATTTTTGTTTAAAAAATAATTTTAGGTGTGATTTCAATACTTTCAGTATTCTCGCAAAAAAAAATACTTTGGCCATATTTCCTCTAAAATAGCAAAAGAAGTTGGATCTTTTTAAATATTTTGCCCCCGAATTATAATCAACTATTGATAGTTATAAGCTTTGAAATTTAGACAAGTCCACTCCCACTTAGGTTGCATATGAAAAATAACAAAATTCTCCTATACATAGACAACTCTGGAACATTCTAGTCATAAAGAAATACTTATCTTGATGGAAAATTTGTAATTAATATTTCTTGTACTGTAGAACTTCCACTTTGATGAGTGACTGGTGATTATAATTGCTATTTCTTTCTATTTTCCTGGATAATTTCAGGGCACATTCAGAAAATGAAGGTACCTCTTTACCATCAGCTGACTCCTGTACCAGTCCTACAAAGATGGACTTATCATATAGTAAGACTGCTAAGCAGTGCCTGGAGGAGATATCTGGTAAGTGACCTCATCAATGCATAGGTCAAACCTAGGAATTTCTGTATTCTCCCCATAACACTTTTTATTAAATCATATTTGTGGTATACTGTTTTTTATGCAAAAATGGATTGTATATATCTCATGCTTCAAAGATCATTAGCTATTTGGCTATTCTGCTTAGGATGATCTCTTTGTTACTAATAAAGGAATGGTAGTCCTTTCAGAAGTGAAGAATTTAAGTCATTTTGCCCTCAGTCAAATTGAATAAAATCAGAGAAAACCTGTATAATATATTTGGAGATTGAAAATAAACTAATGATTGGCCATGTAGATTCTCCATGGCTAATGCAGCCTGCTCTGTCATCAATTCTATACTATTTAAAACATTTCTACAGGGTGATTTCAAATGACCATTTAAAAAAAACTCTGAATAGGAAAATATTTTATTATATATGGATGATGTAAGAAAAAAATAATACATACCCCAGACACACAGTTATCAGGTTTTTGTTGTGTATAAAATGGGATGCTGAGCTTGAGCACAATGTTTTCTCTAGGGTCCAGGTAAGCCTAAGCATATATGGAAGACATTTGGTTTAATTTCATTACATATAGATCTATATTCGTAAGGAACCAAGAAACCTCCTAGCAAAATATATTGCCCTTGAAGGGCAAGAGATGAAAGAGTACTTTATCTGTTCCTAAGTATAATAATGCATGAAAGTAGGATTATGTCTGTTGTTCCAGGAAGTCTGTGGCCCAAGCCTTGTGTATTCACAGCTAAGTTCAAATGAAGAAAACTAAATAAATTATTTAATTTTAAAAAATTACTGTGTACTCTAAAGACCCAAAGTATAAGTATCGCTATGAAGCTCATGAAAATGACTCTATCACAAATTTGGGGGTTAAGAAACTTCCTCACTTTGGCAGACCTGAAAAGCATTTGGCAAGCATTAGACATGACTACAGCATCCTGCAGTGGATATTGACAACAATTACAGAACAACATCCCAAGGGTACATTTTGGAATCAGCATTAGTTGATAACATTAGGTATCAGAGGTTTTATACGGAGATTACAATAAAGGCCCAGTACTAGGTAGGGGTCGAAATGGTAATGCCAAGACATAAGTATAGGGATAGTAATTGTAGATTTTTCAAACACACGGGGGATGTGTTGACTTTCCATTAACTCTGTGTAGTACCATGGTCAAAATGATGCTATGCATTTATTATGACCAGATGTTTTATAAAATTAGCATGACATGAAGATGCTTCATATATATCTTTATACATAAATGTCTTCAATATGCATGCTAAGCACTAGAGCTAAAATCTGTAGGGGAGATGAATTTAGTAGAGTTTGAATTGCAATTTTATGTGAATTTCACAAAGGAACACTGTTTTCAGAAACTAATATATCACAGTATATCTGATTGAATAAATAGTCTGTCTTTGATGTTTTCTCCACTGTCTTATTGTCTACCATTTGATCACTTTTTCATTTTTCCAGTTGATATTTCCTTTTAACATTCGGATTTTTAATAGAATACCTGAAAGTGAATATAAACTAGCAATTAATATAATAATTTAATGGGTTTATCAGAAAGCATAATATCATTTTGCAGCAACAATCAATTATTTACATAAAATCACAGTTTTCAGTCTAGGATTTTGATATGAATTCAATAAAAGTAAGAAAACAGAAAAATGGTGCAGTGAGACTTACCTACTTGTGTCAATCTTACTATCATCTCTTTAAATGCAGCCTATAGTGGGATAGTGAAAATGTTTCTCGATACTAACTTGAGATTTCCTAGAAGAATTGTGATATTTTTTGCAGTTAGTAAGTTATAAATTGAGTACTATAATTAAAGAAAGGTAGATGAGGAAATATGAGCAGGCCAGTCACAGAGATGATTGTCACAGAGAAATTAGATTACGTATCTTCATCATTTTAAGATTTTGGTTTGTGAATAACTATCTCTTACCATTTCTGCCCTAATTTTTAATGATTTTAGTATCTACATAGGTGTTCTTTCTAACACCTTGGCCTCTCCACCCATGATTTTTGTCTTGCAGTCCCTCCTGAGCTACTTAGTTTCATCATCATACCCTAGATCTAGGCATCATCAGAAACTACTACTTTATGTGACCTCACTGTCATGCACTGCGCTCTCACTGATTGCACACTCCTATCATTTCAGTATTCTTCCTTTTGTTCCCTGACTCCAGCAATGAATCCACTAGGGTTTCCAATTCATTGATCCTACCACGTTTTACTGTTCCTCACCAACCTCTGCATATTTTTTCTTCTCTCCTTAGTCAGCTAATTTCCTGTAACAAGTGAATGTATTTTTATTTTTATATACCCTAACTCCATTGCCTCTCTCTCATTTGATGAAATCGTGACCTGGTTACATTTAAATCTCCATCTATTCTATACCAACAATGAATGAACCAGGAGAAAACACATCGCATGTCAATGCAACTCACTTTACGTTCAGAACCTCCAACCTCAAGTGAATATGTAATGCTCCTGGCAGTCAATCTATATTTTTTATACCTTTTTTTCTCAAATGTCCTACATTACCAGTTCTATTCTTTCTCTTAACTGATGACCTTGATGTGTAACTTCACTTACAAAAGTGAAGCACAAAGAAAAGTTCACGAACCCCTGTCATCACATCTACCCAAGTATAACATTTATATCCACTTAATACCTATTTACTCTGCTTTTACTTGGATTACTCTCTCTTCTCTTTAATAGCTCCCTCCCAACCAAGTCACTTATTTTAGGCCATGGCATACTATCATTTCTCCAACTTTAATTTAAAAAAATAACTTCCCTTGACCCCAAATTTGTCCTCAAGTACTGTTGTCATTTATCTCCTTGTCTTATGGCATACTGTAAAAAGAGTAGGGTTCAATCACAGTCTCTTAGGCTTTTAACCCCACTTCTCCACTGGAACTGCTCTTATAGAAGTCACCACTAATGTCAACATGGTCAATCCAAGGATCAAGTCTCAGGCCTCATCTTATTTCACCTCGCAGCAGCTATTTGTCCTCTTCTAAGAAGGTTTCTTCCTTGGTGCTATAGTTTAGATACAGTTTGTTTGGCCTCACCAAGTCTCATGCTGAAATTTGATCCCCCTGGCCAGGCGCAGTGGCTTGTGCTTGTAATCCCAGCACTTTGGGAGGCCAAGTGGGGCAGATCACGACGTCAGGAGTTCAAAACCAGCCTGGCCAACACAGTGAAACCTCGTCTTTACTAAAATTACAAAAATTAGCCGGGTGTGGTGGTGGACACCTGTAGTCCCAGCTACTCGGAAGGCTGAGGCAGGAGAATCGCTTAAACCTGGGAGGAGGAGGTTGCAGTGGAGATCACACCACTGCACTCCAGTCTGGGCGACAGAGCTAGACTCTATCTCAAAAGAAAAAAAAGAAAGAAAAAAGAAGTTTGATCCCCAGTGTTGGAGGTGGGGCCTCATGGGAAGTGTTTGGATCCCAGGAGCAGACCCCTCATGAATGGCTTGGTGCCATTCTCCAGGGAGTGGGTGCATTTTCACTGCTAGGTCCCACATGAACTGATTGTTGAAAGTCACCTGGCACTTCCACTTTCTCTTGTTTATGCTTTCACTATATGATCTCTGCACAACAGCTCCCCTTTGCCTTTCACTGTGAGTGGAAGCAGTCTGAAGTCCTCATCAGAAGCAGTTGCTGGGAGCAGCTTCTTGTACAGCCTAAAGACCAGTGAGCCAAATAAACCTCTTTTCTTCATAAATTACTCACACTCAGATAATCCTTTATAGCATCACAAATGGACTAAGATACTTGATTTTCAGAGTCATAGATCCCCTTAGTTTTCCTCAAACCTTACTGTTCCTTCTTGGTCTCCTTTTCTAGTTACACTTTTTTCTTGATGATTTCTTTTGGTTTCAATGGTCCAGGTCTCTGCTTCTAGGTTTCTCTACCTATAAATGCTCCCTTGGTGATTTAATATCAATATTATCTCATGGCTTTAAGTTTCATCTATATTCTGGTGGCTTACAAATGTCTCTGTCTGCTCTAGTTCTCTCCCCTGAACTCTGGACTCAAATATCCAACTGCCAACACAATCTTTCCACTTGAATATCTCATAGACACTTCAAACATAGTTTATCCCCAACTGAACCTCTGATATTAACCTATAAAATTGTACCCCTCAAAAACTCTTTACCCAAGTCTTCTCCATTTTCATTAATAAGAATTTCATCCTTCCAGTTGCCCAAGCCTGAAACCTTAGACGTATTCATGACTCCTTTTTAATGCCTCACACCTGATGCCCTGATAGTCTATTCATTATAATATCTTGTTGGCTCCAGAAGTATTGTTTTCTATTTGTACTCAGATACAAATGGTGTTTATAAATCAACTTTTTGGGATATTTCTCAGTATTTGAACTCTTGTTACTTTTCTCAGAAATCCAGAAACTGAAAAAATTTACATGACACAATATCTAACTAACTATAAGAAATAAGGTACTAAGATAGCTTAGAATAATTGCATTTTTAAAATATATCCAGAATTTGCCAATTCTCCTTTTTTCCACTTTTGTCTATTAAGTGGCATCACCAGTGGATGGTTAGTACATAGGTAGCACTGAATAAATGCATGTAAAATGAAATTAATATAGTGGATATAGCATTAAAATAAGAACTACACTAAAAAAGGAACATAATAATTTTCAGATGAAAACAATAAACAGAAAAGATAGGAATTATCTCTTTGGCTTTGGAAGGCATTCAGGAAATAATCACAGTGAACTTATGATCAATTATACTATACAGAAGGAGTTGATATAAATGGAAAATAAAAATTTACTTTTGATTATGCCATCACTGAATAATCAAAGAATATAAGAAAGAAAATGTTTAGTCATTCTACAGAAGTAATGTTACAGTTCAGAAGCTCTCCCTGTTGATCTGGGATTTTAAAACAGCACATTATAAAATGGAAGAAGGCCAGGGATGGTATCTCATACCTGGAATAGTAGCATTTTAGGAGACCAAGGCAGGATGACTGCTTGAAGCCAGGAGTTCAAGACCAGCCTGGACAACATAGTGAGACCCTGCCTCTACCAAAAAAAAAAAAAAAAAAATCAAATTATCCAGGCATAGTGGTGTATAGCATGTGTCTAGTTCAATCTACTCAGGAGGCTGAGGAGAGAAGTTTGCTTAAGCTCAGGCGTTCCACGCTGCAGGAGCCACGATCATGCCACTGCACTCAAGCCTGGGTGACAGAGCAATACCTTGTCGCAAAAAAAAAAAAAAGTAGGGGCAGGGGGAAAAGAAGGATAAATTTGTAACACAGGTTGAATATCCATAATTTAAAAATCCAAAATTCAAAAGATCCCAAATTCATAAATTTTTGTGTGCTGACATAATGCCACAAGTGGAAAATTCCAAACCTGATCTCCTGTGACAAATTGCAGTCAAAATGCAGGTGCACAACACAGTTTATTCAGCATTCTCAGGGGAAAAAATAGTCTCTCAGTCCCCTTTAGCCGCTATGTATCTTTTCCATAAACACTTAGATTCCCGCATGCAAGCATACCCACAAAGGATAATACAATGGCATATGTGCAGAGTGGACATGCCAATGGCAGGTTCCCCACAGTGTCCCACATTGGGCCAAGACCTATATGCATTACACTGTGGTTTTTCTTTTGTTTTTGTTTGTTTGCTTATTTTTCATTCTGTGGCATAAAGATATTATTGAAAATGTCAAAAAGGCCTGAAGATACCCCTATGGGTAACAGTGATAAGAAAAAAAGGAAGCGTTTATGTTTGTTTATAGCACAGAAAGTCAAGCTGTTGGAGAAACTAGACTGTGGTATAAGTGGGAAACATCTTACAGAAGAGTATGGTGTTGGAATGACCACCATATATGACCTGAAGACACCAAAGGATAAATTGTTAAAGGTCTCCATTGAAAGTGATGAACAGAAGTTAATGAAAAATAGAAAAATACTGCATAAAGCTAAAAATGAAGATCTCAATTGTGTATTGAAAGAGTGGATCCATCAGTGTGACAGTGTACACATGCCACTTAATGGTATGCTGAAGGTTAAATAAGCAAAGATCTTTCACAGTGAACTGGCAATCGAAGGGAACTAAATATTCAATAGGCTTGTTGTAGAAATTTAAGAAAAGATATAGCATTAAATTTTTAAAGATTTGTGGTAATAAATAGTGAAGACATACATTGACTAGTTGGCCAAGATCATTGCTGATGGAAATCTGACTCTGGAACAAATCTTTGATGCCGAAACAACACACGTTTTGATGCCTCAAAAAGATACTGACACAGAAGACGAGACAGCCCCTACAGGAAGTAAGGATGCCAAGGACAGAATAACTGAGATTGGATGTACTTATACAGCGGGAACCCATATGTGAAAACTTGTTGTGATAATCAAAAGCTTGCGTCTTTGCTGTTTTCAGGGAGTCAATTTCTTACCAGTTTATTATTATGCTAACAAAAAGGCTTGGATCACCAGCAACATATTTTCTGATTGGTTTTATAAACATTTTGTGACAGCAATTCTTGCTTACTTTCAGGAAGCTGGACTGAATGACTGCAAGAATTTATTTGATTATATTTATTCTACTCATTGTCTAGCTGAAATTATTATCAAAAACAATGCTTATGCCATGTACTTTCCCCAAAATGTGACTTGTTAATTTAGCCAAGTGACCAGGTTATCCTTCAATCGATAAAGAATAAATATAAAAACACTTCCTTAAATAGCATGCCAGCAGTAGTGAACAGAGGTATATGTGTGGGTGATTTTCAAAAGGAGTTTAGCATGAAGGATGTCATATATGCTGTTGTCAATCCTTGGAATTCAGTGACTAAAGACATGTTGTACCTGCCTGGCACAACCTCTAGTCTGCATCTTTGTTCAGTGATGATGATGAACTAGGTGGTGACTTTGAAGGATTCCATATGTCAAATGAGAAAACCAATGATGTCTGACCCTACCTATTCCAAAAAAAAAAAAAAAAAAATACTTTCAGAGTCTATTAGTAGGCTGGAAAAAGTGGATATCAACGAAATTCTTAACATTGACAATGAGGCTCCAGTTGTTCATTCACTGAACATTGATGACATAGCCAAAATGGTACTGAATTCAGGTGACTGTGATAATAGTAATGACGAAGATAACAATGTTAACACTGAAGAAAAAGTGCCAGAGACAACATGATGGAAATGCATGATGATCTTAGTGAAGAACTAGAGCAGTGTACATTCATTACAGAACAATAAATTATGCCAGTTGATAAAAATCAGAGAGCTTTCTAAGACAAAAACTGTTGTTAATGAGGCAGATGACTCTGGGGGAAACATTTTAAAAAGCTACCCAGCAGAATGCCGCCTCACCCCTAGGGGGTCCACTTCCCGGTCCCTCAACTGCTTCTGATGTTTCTTCTCACCTAAAAAAAATACAGTGTACAGTAACTTTTTAATCCAAACACAGCATTGAATGTAGAGATGGAAAGCCTGTGGTTGTTTGTGGTTGCTGTTGTTTCATAGCTGATACAGGTATTCTGGCAATGCTACTGTGCTTCTTAGTGACTTTGAACACATTATGTTTTCACTGCATTCATGCTATGTCATATTTTTCACCGGTAATTACTTACGTATAAATAATTGCAATAAAATAATTGCTTATTAGTAGCATATAAATTCAGTCAGGAATGATGGTGATGCCACAAACCACAGATTGTCCACTTAGGTGACTGAGATAGAGACACCTTTGATTTCTGATGGTTCAATGCACACAAACTTTGTTTCGTGCAAAAATTTTTTAAAAAATGTATTGATTTACCTTCAGGCTATGTGTATAAGATGTATATGAAACATATGTGACTTGGGTCCCATCTCCAAGATATCTCATTATGTATAGGCAAATATTCCAAAATCTGAAAAAATTCAACATGCAAAACACTTCTTGTTCCAATCATTTCTGATAAGGGATATTAAACCTGTAAGAGAATAACCCTATAAAAGAATGAACCTGTCAGAATTCTAAAGCTCATGAGATGTTTTCTATATTAATGACAACTCTCTTTCTCAGAATCTCCATCCCTTTCTCATAGTTCTATAGAACTATAGAGGAGTTATATAGTCTCCTCTTTCTGAGTTCTGGATGCTAGTAAAACCACAAAGCACATAAGCACCTGAATTTATTGCCAGGTTCTAGCTCAGACTGGCCCACAGAATACACTTCCAAGATTGTTTGAAATGTGGAAAGAGAAATGTTCTAGGAATTGGAAAAAATAAATTTTGGCCTCTGTACTGCGATTATTTAGCAATTATTTGGCCTCTGCCCTGCAAATTGCTCCTTGGTTCCCTTTTCTGTGTGATGACTATGATGATGCTTAATAAACTCAGAAGATTGTTGTGAGATACGGTATTATCCTTCCATCAGTCTTTTCAGTAATTATCACCTGGTATGTTACACATGCCAGGCATCTCAAAATTTGGGAAAACAAATGTGACTAAGAAGTGAGCTCTTCTTTGAAAAAGTAAGAAACAAATAGATAAAACAACACCACAAGTAAATGAATAAATAGGCACATGGAAACAACTATCTTAGCTGTAAAGAGTCATGCAGAGCTTAAAAGAAGATCAGACATGTATATTGTTGAATTCTAATGAATAATGAAATTGTGGAATAACGTTCCAGGAAGAAACAACTTCATGAAAATAATTTGAAAGAAATTCTTCTTAACTTGTTCTTTTTATTAGTTTCTTTTTGTAAAATTGGGCATTTCTCCTAAACTCACCGAGGTTCTGTAGTTCTCTGATTTTCTGTAACCCTAAGCTTCAACACTATTGTTATTGTTGAACTTTTATTGCTCGTGGTTGCTGTAGGGGCCTCAGTGAGGAGTAATTCTGCTCCCCAAGTGAAGTGGCCTTCGTGATATAAAATTCTGATGAAGTTAGTCTTGGCAAGGTAAGATGCAGGCTTTATAAATTTACGAAGTCTGTATAATGTTCAGAGGCCTGAAAATAATACAGAAAATAAAATGTACAGAGTCTAGAAAGAGGCTTAGGTGAGTTAGGAGTTCTATAGTTTCAGCTCTGTTGGCTCTATATTAAGCCTACCAGCAAGTCCTGGTGTAGTTTTGTGTGTCCGGTATCCGTTGCCCCATCTTCTGGTAACAGCGTCTTGATTTTCTTTGGGGATCATTCTCTGCTCTTGTGATCTAACTGAAATTGAAGTAAGTGGAGCCAATGAGAACATCTATTCATTGACTGCAGTGACTGTTTGAGGACTGGATGTGTGACCCAATCCAGTTTGATCAGAACAAATAAGACTCAATCTCAGGACTTTTCCTGAGGTTGTTATAAAAGAGGTGGTCTCTTTTTCCACTACACCTAAAACTAATAAAAGAAAAGCTTAGACCTGCTTACAGTGATCTCCACCCTCAAATGATCAAACATAGAGGAAACAGAACCTAAATCAGGAGAGACCAAATTCAAGGTCATTGTTAGAAATGACTGAGCCCCTGAAAAATCCACGTCTGAAACTATTTCTCCTCTGCTTTTGAGTTATGTAACCCAGAAAAAAAATCATTTTGTGCTTACACAAATGTGAAAATCATCCCTATTGCATGACCCATAAGATGTATGACATGTAAAGATTTGCCATACTATTAAGGAGCAAACTTGAATGGTTCACACTGCAATGCAGATGTGTTAGAGGGATTTGCTAAGTTAGTTGGAGAGCTTAGCTGTTTAAATTTTCACCAATGCAGTAACTCAACTGACATTACAAAAACATTGTCTTCATCATTAAATGGCAATGAAAGTTTAAAAAGATAATAAATTATGGTTTGAAGATAAGCATCACACTCAATAAGTAGAATACTGGATAAATGACTTTTTGAATTTGAATATTCTTCATAAGACTTCAGTGTATCTCTGCAAAATTTTTAAGTACATCACTTAAATTTGCTTTTGCTTATGATATTCTTTGTGAGGAAACCTAGTTATATTTACCCAATCTGATGATAGTAGCTCCAATAATTACTATAGTCAGGTGAAATGTATTATATAATTTGTGCCACTGAAGAAGTAGCTTATTGCTTCCTGCCTTTCCTCTAAGATTCAAATCATGACCTCAGTATTACAATGCTGCCTGAATTAATGGTGCAGATTTTACTGCTTTGGCTTGCGTTTTATTCTCACATTCATTGACAGAAAGAATTTGTCTTCAGAGGCCATCCCTTTCATCATCTGCCAAGAGATTGTGCCAAATGTAAAGCTAGCCCAAATTTTCATCCCACTGGTACTCAAGAAAGTTTTTCAATTTTTTTTTTTCTGTAGATTCACATTTGCCCTTTTTTTGCATAAGACCATCCACCAACATGTATAACATTTGTTTAATTCACTTCTTAACCTTTATCTGGAATTTATATTCAACTGAAAAATGTTCATAGATGCTGGACTGGCTCAATATCAATAAAGCTGGCATGTCATTTGTAAAAAAGTAATATTAAAATTATTGGATGAATTCAGGAAACCATTTTAGAAATAGAAGAATGTAGGTTAAACAGAAGGATAAGCGAATGGTTACACGTGCTTTTACTGACTACCAGACTTTGCATTAAAAATGGGAAATATCTGACATTTGCAGTCTCTGTAAATGATCACTGAAATTGCTTTTGTGTGTGTGTGTGTGTTTATAAAGATCAAGAAGATCAAGCTCAGATAATTCAAATCAGTTTAGGTATTTTACTTAAATAGCCACATTATAATTATGTTTACTAAAGAGCTGAAAAGCACTCCTTTCTAGCACATGATAATGGCTATAACTTATTTTAGGTCTTGGCGTAATTAGAATGATTCACATTTTTCCTACTGACTGGGCGTATTTGTCTCCTTTGCACTGTGACTTCCTCCTCCTCCTTGTATAACATACATTTATATGTGTGAATATAAACAAATATAAAAACATCCATATATGAATGTACACCCAAGGCAAGCAGGATGGCTGTCTCCAGAGAAGGAATAAGTGGGTTCCCCACTGTTGCTCAGGGTAAATGTGGACTGATGTAGTTCTGGGACAAACCTACTATAACCACAAGTTAATAACAATGTCTTTAAACAAAGAAACAGACAGAAACCCCCTTTGGATAAGCCCTCTCTACAATCCCCTCCTTGCTGGCTCCATTGGACTGAGCCCATCCTTTCCAGGGTTTACACCTCCAGAAGGATTAAATTTCCTGTCTCATTGAATCAGGAAGAACCAGGTGATTTAATTTGACAAATGAAGTACAAGTGGAAAAATGACATGGGCTGTTCCTGAGCAGCAACTTGAGAGCCATTGCTTGGATCTCTCACCTCTCTTTTCCTTTGGTCATAAAATCAACACGTCCTAGGCTAGGACTGCTCTTTCAGCATGGTTATAGAATAAAGGACACCTGAGAGAGAGTTGTAACAAACACAGAGTGGACATTAATGTCAGCAGAAGTACATCTTTGTTTTAAATGCCACTAAAGTTTCTAAACCATTTGTAAATGCAATATAACAATCTAAGGCAGGATTTCTCAACTTTGGCACTATTGACGTTATAAAATGCATAATTCTTTTTTTGCTTAGGGCTGTTTTGTCATTGTAGGATGTTTAGCATCATCATTGGCCACTTCCCCTTAGATGTCACCACCACACCCACAGTTGTGATAAAGAAAAACATTTCCGGATATTTCCAAACGTCCCTTGGGGGAAAACCATCGCCAGCTGAAAACCACTAATCTCAGCATAGTCGTTCTCAAAGGGGATTTTCAGAGCAAGCAGTATCTGGAAATATGTTAGATATACAAAGTCCCAGGACCCTCCCAGTCCCAATGAATGAGCAGTTATATGGCTAGGGCACAGCAAACTGTGTTTTAATAAACTCTGCAAGTGGTTCTGAACATATGAAGCTTGAGAACCACAGTTTTAAACTGATTTGTATATATATGAGCAGTCTTGAATAAGGAAAGGGCATAAATATTGCTTTTATTTACGGATGAATAAGGTTAGCTCTTTTGATACGTAAAGCATTAGAATTGTATTTTTTTTGTGAATCTGTAAGGCTTTATGGTATATTAGCATGTATACTAGTGTAATAAATGTTAAATACATTGAAATTTCATAATTTGAACAAATTGCACTATGGTCTCAGGACTTGGAAATTCACTGAGTCACAATAACTCAAAATGAAGGAAAAAAATTTCTGCTTAGGAATTCTAAGGGAAGTGTCACTTTGGTTTTCTAAAAAATACTTTACAAAATGTTTTTGGAAGCATAACTGTCAGTTTCAATTATCTGACATTTGTACTCTCATTTTATTTAGCACATTTTATATAAACACAATTAGTATTTTAAAAGTATAGAACTGAGAATGAGTATCAATAATGCTCAGATTTCTTTATTGCAAAATTCTGTCACAAATAATTGCTCTTCTTTCCATCTAATTTCCTTTTGCATATCTATAAAATGGATCTAAGTCTGATCTACCTTGAAAGGTGGAGCATAAGGAATAATTAACTTTTGCAAAGTCAGTAGTTGTTATGTGTAAAGTTATAGGCAATGCATATTATAATGCTAATATATATATAGATAAGAGATTGGGTATTTCCTCTAGTTGAGATTGGCAATAGGAGGTAGAAAATCACAATTAATTTTGCCACATTAGCTCTGAAAATGATGAAGATAATATTTCTGCAGATTTCTCCGCTTTCCCTCATTTGATAAAGGAGAAATCCCTATTTTTCTTGTTGTGAGCAGAAAATCTTCAGAAGTTAAATCCTAAAAAGTTAATAGTCTTCTTCTTAACTGTCAATGGTACCCATGATTTCTGCTATACTATATATTTGTTTTTTAAAGTTGTCCTAAAATCAGAATTTTGTGATGGTGTAGTGTACATATCAGTACAAGGTAAATACAAGAAAATTATCTTTAGGCTTTCTGTTTTTATGAAAACATTAAAAAATAAGAGCTGATTATGCTGTGATAGTCTTATGAAATAGACCTGGAAAATGCAATATCAAAAGACATAATGTGCATTTTGTGTTATCTGTGACGTTATTATGTTCCACACACTTGACCATAAACTTTCAATTTTATTCTTTGAGTCAAAATATCAAGGAAAAACCCTTCTGAGTTTTTTTTTTCTTTTTCTTTCCTTTTTGTTTTTACCAAAAGGCTGTAAGAAATCTTTATTTTTATCATCACATTAGGATTTTAGGATTCAAAATAAAAAGCCTTTGACTTTGTTCTTTTAAAGATAAGGGAAGTCTTTCCCTTTAAAGCATTATCTCCTAGCGGGTGGAGAGTGTCATGCTTCATTTTTTAGGTCCTTTACACTCTTGAATTTGATTTGTGCTTTTACAGCACAAATCCCAACATTCAGAAGGGAGATCTGCCTGCTTCAGCTGCCTGCAGCTACAGAGAATTAGTCTGTCATTCTCGGCATCAGGGAGTGTATGTTGTGTATGTGAGGGTGTGAGTGTGTGTTCGTGTTTGAGATTAGGTGGCTGAGAGTCATTTAAATGTGCATAAGGTTAATACTGGAAGATCTCATACAGGCTTGGCTCTGAAACCTGTGGCATTCTAGGCTGGACAGCCGTTCCCGTGCCTCTATTTTAATTTAGCAGGATGTTTGCTGCCATGGCAGCCAGCAGCATCCACTGCAGCAGCAAGGAAGAGCCATAGATCTGAGAATGCAGGTGGAATACTAAAATGTGAGAGGCTCGTGCAGGGCTGGGCTTCAGTGCTTAATTCCTGCTCTTCCCGGGCTCCTATGGGGAGGCTGTACTTGCTGCACTGTGTCAGCTCATTAGAGTAAAGGGTTACAGACCTAGGTCAGTTAAGGGCTGGTGAAAGGCAGGGGGAAAAAAAAAAGCAAAAAGCAAGAGACCTCAGCTCGTGCTTCACCTCCTGGCGTTTCGGAACACAGAAGCAATAGAGGGAATGTGGACCCATCCTCCGGCTGAGACATGTGATTGGATGAAGACTGGCAAACGTAGTTGGCTTCCTGGACTACTTTTCAGCTGGGGGAGAGTCTTTGGTGAACTCTTTTCTGCTTCAGATATATTCGAGCAAAATATTTGTAAGTACTGCTGATTTAGTAAAATGATGCATCAAGCTAAATTGTAGGCAAATAATTATATATACCGTATCTCTAGAATCTGTGAATGTGTGAGCTTGAGCTTTTATTTAAGTGCATGTGATAATTAAAATCAAATGGATCAGTTACAATCACAGTGTAAAAAGACAATATGAAGTCCAATTGAAAGGAAGGAGCCACTGGAAGAATCATGCAGCGGCCTGCTCAACTCTCTGTGTTCCGGAGCAAAGAAGTAAGGAGAAAGGGAGCTTGCCTTCAGAAACAAAAGTCTCTGACCAATCTTTCCCTCACCAGTGATGGGGAGAGGAGACCCACGGTGCGCATTTCCAACTGGTTTGGAAACGCTGCCAAGGCCAGTCAGAGAGAAGCCAACTATGCAGAGAGGCGCTCACTGTCCAGGTTTCTCTCGCGGTCTGTGCAGTCCCTGTATCACACCAGCGGCTCAGCCTGGAACCTCCTGCCTGCTGGGGGCAGCCAGTCAGACAGTGAAGACTTAGAGGAATTGTCTACAAGAAGAGGCTTAGAAGGTGAGAGTGATGAAGATAGTAGGTCCGACGATGAAAACGTGTCCTCCAAGCTAAGCAGCATCAGCAGAAGCTGGGCTGAAGAGGAGGGAGAAAGCTGCTTGCGGGAAGGGACGGCTCATCTGGATGAGGACGTCATTCTTACCATGCTGGGTGATCTGGAACAGGCACTTTACACTGACTTATTAGGTAAGTCCAGTTTGCTCCTAAAAGTGTGTATGGGATTTTAAGAAATTTCATAGTCTCTTATGAAATTATTTGCATTTGCCAAATAGCTTTCATTTTTTAGACTGGTTTTTAAAAATATATAGTTACACTTTTAATTCCTGTTTCTTGAAATGATTTTTTTTTAAATTTTTATTTTGGTAAAACTGAGCTATGAGCACCACTGGTAAGGTTTATTTGGAGAAAGTAAATTCCAGAAATCTGCCATGGGCATTATTAGCCTTGCTTAGTGTCCAGTACCTTCTAGGCATCCATAAATAAGTTAACATTTTAAAACTCCAAACATGTTGTTCACCTAATCATTAAAGGGGCCTGTTTGTTCAACTTCCCTCAAGGTGACCTCATCACAGATAAGGGATGAATAATGAAGGGCCTCCTGGGTAAATTTTCTGTAGAGTTAAGTTTCTTCTGCTGCCTTCATGCTACCTGAATAGAAGGCTTCTTCTATACCTCAGTGACAGGCCCTGTTTATTGCAGTGACACTTTCAGAAATGCAGGGGCCTCTGCTACCTTCTACCTTTTTTCTTTTCTTTTTTGTTTCAGTGTTTGACAAAAACTAGTTCTGCATGTGCACATTATAAGTATTCAAGCTACTCTATGGATGACTATGAACTGTTTTCATACTTTAGAAACTAGGCCTTTTTGATAACATGAGTTTCAGTAGTAACTTCTGGCATATTCTTTAATTAACTAAAGAAGAAGAGGTCAAGTAATTCTATAGTTTGTGACTAAACTTTAAATGTCAACTGTGAATGTTTTAATTGTTATTTCTGAATCCACTGTTCTACCAAAATATATTTGCATCATACAGTCCCTTCTTCCATAAGTATTAAATTACTGGCCATATCATATTTTATGTCAATATGTATTTCCACAAAGGACTTCATATTGGGCTCCTTAAATTGAAAGGAATTAAACCTGGACAGTGATCTCTTTGTTTCTGATTCATGAAACTAATGCTAAATGCAGGCTTGTTTTTATTCTTACTGTAGACCCTCCTGTTACAAGATGTTTTACGAGGTTTGCTGGATTCTTTTAGTAAACCAGCTTTAGAAGAAGAAAGCTTAGAGAGACAGCAGAGGCAAATATTGTTCAATTTTTCATGTCAGTTTGATTTTAAAAGAGTAGTGTTTCCACAGTTGTCAGAATAGTGATTTCTGAATCTGCAACACCAGGTGCTGCAACACGAAGATTTACTTTTGCACCATTGTCTGGTTTCTATAATGAATTGCTTCTCATAAAGGGCTATGTGCAGCACAAAGGCAAGAGAAAGTCTAATGTTTATGAAGCCTTTTCTTTTTGGGATCCTTTGGAACTGTAGAATCAGATAATATTCCTCTTTTGCTTTTGAAGTGGTATTATTTATCTTGTTCTCGGTATCTCATAAGTATTTACAAAGGTATGAACAGAGTGCAGTCCCCTGACAGCATTTGATGCTTACTCAGTTAAATTATAGCATGCTGTGGGTGGGTGTATATATGACACGTGCCTTTTTGTGCATAAATAACTTGGAGTATTTTTGTCAGAGGGTAACCTCTCAAAAGAAGCCGGTATGCCTTGGTTTTTCAAGATCATCTGCTTATTGTATTTATGTGATTATTCTGTTTCAGTATTTTTTTTTTCCTACTTATGCCAGTATTCAAAAATGCAAGTGAAAAAGTAAGGGGAAGTTTATTCAAATAGCTGTGATATGAATAATCATATCTCCAGATAATGAAGCATTCTGATGCAATTCCCTAAATAATGATACATGTTAAGTTGTTGAATATATCTACGCCCACAGCACACAGGAATTTCAGAATTTCTGCCACGTGCTTCAATAGGTTCTGCTTACGACTCAAAATGGCCTCTTCCAAGTTAGTTTTTACATGGGGTTCCTTGAGTTTAACTCTTTACTCTTAGATATCCTCCTAAATTAGACAGATGAAGATTTGTCCTATAACTGTATAGGAGCATATTTTATAAGTAACTATAAAGCTTTTAGCCACATTTTGTTATTTTTCCCCAAAGTGTCAAGATTAACCAGAGGAGTTTAAAAATTTTCATCCAAATCACTACTAGGGCCATCCACAAAACTAGAGTTACTTCATACAATAAATCAGGAAGCTGTACTCTATATAATATCTGTAATATGGATGGGGTAGATGGCATAATTCTCTGAGAATAAGGTTTATTCATATAGATTTGATTTCCTATTAAAAGATGGCAATGCTGACAGTGTTAATTACAATGTGTATAATTAAAGCCTAAAAATTAAGAACAGGATCACAGATTAAATGGTGTTTCTGCCACCAAATAGTAATGTAGAAGTACCAAATTGATGCTGTTATTTTTTGTCTCTACTCAAAGAACACCTTATGAGCAGTGAGAAAGCACTTTGCACCAATGTTAAAACCTCAAGTTGATTTCAGAATATACCATTCTGGAAAATGTGTGGAAGCCATTCCATTGTATTTGACACATAGGAAGCCTCTTTCAGGAATAATGGTTGACTTTGAGATTATGCAAGTAGGAGGAGTCCCAACATTACTGTGATTAAATACACTTCTCATGTGCATTTTTCTGGTAACTTTTATTGTTACTAAGCATTTAATTTTATTTTTGCTTTTATATTTGGACTTTGCAATTGTGTTTTTCCCCCAAAGCCTCTGGACCTCACTCAGATACAAATTTACAGGATAATTAAGGCTGTGCAATCAGTCCTTAGGGGTTTGTGAGTACATTTAGTTTTATCTTGCCTTATGTGGGTCATTGAAAACATTTACTGCAATAAATTCTGCTTTCGTTATTATCTTTCGTGACATGAATAAGCCAGCAGTTATGTTTAGCTCAATAAGTGTTGGGAAGAAAAGGTCCATTTGTCTGTCATGAGGAGGACAATGTCATAAGTGAATGTCATAATGAAAAAAACCTAAGGAATGAGGGAGGCTGTGGTTCTAAAACATGAGAGAAACCAGATAAACAATGAATTCAGTTAGAAGAATCCAAGGATCTAAGATACCTGTTGGATTGGAAAAAAGAAATTGAAAAGGAGATGAAGTAGTTGTGAAAATATATTTAGTGAAATGACATGTCTAAAAATACAGCATTCTTAAAATTAATATAAAAAGATGGAATATAATTGATATATTAATTTTAATATTCCAGTTGGCAAGTGATTGAGATGCAGCTGGATTACAACTTAAAAGTTTTCCTAGGGGAAGGAGGAAGGGATAGGAACATGTAATGGTGCGTTCTAGGAATCTGTGTGAGGTCAATTACTTGTACCTCCCCCCATGAAAATAAAAAAAGGTCATCTCAACATACTCCTTTCAAGACTTTTTGTCTTTCACCTACAATCTATGATGTCAATAACTGTATGAAATCTTTCATATTGAATCTTGGGTTTAGTGCTTCTCCAGTTTTGTCCCCTTCACTTATTTTGACCAGGTTTGCATTAATTTCTTCTTTGCACGTCTCTTCCTTGACTGTAATAATTTTATTTGCAGTCTGTAAGATTTTCTCTACAAAACTCTTCTTTTTCTTCATAGTTCTATCAGATTATTTGGAAGTGAAAGGTAGACTTCTTTATAGCCATTTCTGAAATACCCTGTATTATATGTATGAGGAGAAATATGGGAAGAATTTCCAGGAAGAATATGATCAGTCTCAAGGGTTATTAACAGTTCTGAGTGCTAAAAGAATAGTGTTAAGCTATCGGATTAGTGATTGTGTTAATTTAATTAGTGTAGAGAAAGTTTGTCATGTGCATGAGATCCCAACATGTGTTTTATTATTCTTTAAAAAGATTTGCTTCAGCAAAGTTTCTCAGTACTTTATGTTTGAAATAATGATGTTCTTATTAAGTATACTTTAATTGTTCAAATGATTTATAAATTCAAGGGAAGAAATTTACAGGCTGGCAGCACAATGGTGGCTGTTTTGGCAACCACCCAAAGTGAGGAATAATGAACAAAGTAGTAATGTTCGCCTGAAAAATCTAGTAAAGGAATTAGCAGTTGTCCTGCAATATTTGAGTGGCTGCCTTGGTAAAGATATTGTAAATTTGTTCATTTGGTTTCAGATCCACTGGAACCACTGGGTGAAAGTTTAAGGGAGACAAATTATTGCTTATCCCCCATAAATGTTTTACATTTTGACTGCTACTGGAAGGAACCATCTCTTACTGGTGAGGTGGAGGCCTTTCCAATGTTGGGGTTTTCAGGCAGAGGCAGATGACCTTGTCCCATGTGAGACAGATGAATGCTATGGCCAAGAGCTAAGGCAAGACAATCTCGGAAATCCCCACCAACTGTATGATTGTGATGATAAGTGTTAAAGGGGCACATTTGTTCTAGATTTTTAAAAATCTGGCCTGAATGTTAAGGAAGTAAATTAACAGGTTAAATAGTTAGCTATATTCCTAAAACAGATTATAAATATGCATCTTGACTTCTCTATGTGACAATTTTCATAGTGTAATTTAATACATACTATTTTTTGCTTTTCTTTTCCTTCCCTTTCTTTTTCTTCCAACCTCTTTCCATTCCATTCCCTTCCCAGCCATCCCGTTACTTCCTTTTTCTCTGTCTCCTCTCCTTCCCTGTCCTTCTCTTAACGTATCCATCCCAATTCCCTCCTTCCTTTCTGTTTTCACTTTTATCGAAAGTGCCCATCACTAGATACCCTCTTCGGTCCAAATTGAACACAACAAAAATTGTGCTTAGACTACTCTCTTTTCATGCTCTTCCTATTACCTCGACTCACTGGCTTTAGAAGGCTACTAGCTTGGGAAGTATTGGATGACTATAAACAAAATGACTTAAGGACACTTCTGCCCCTAGTTGATAGGTGGTGATTGTATCAGGCCAGCATTAGTCATACTTGCAGAGCTATTTGTTTCATGCTCATTAGATACAAACATTTTGGGTTTAGATGCCTAGGAATTTACTTGAGCTCTGGTATCATTGGTAGAACTGTAGAAA